AGTGCATATTTCGTCAGTTGCCATTGGACTCGATTGAGATGGCCAATGTTTGTCGAAAGGTGGAAGCTTACCAAGACGGAGTAGCTTCCTATGCAATGTAAATTTCCTTAGTTTGTCTCCCTTAGAAGCCATTAGACTCGGTTGAAAGGTGAAGGAAATACTAGCTATTCATTTAAGGGCTCACTCAACCCGAGACAAATTAGTGTGGACAAATTCTTTAGCAGGAAATTACTTAGTGAGAGTGGTTACAACCACATCAGACTAATAGAGTTAGGGGTGTCAAAAGCAACCCGTGGGACATGACCCGACCAGACCCGAACCGACCCAGCTCGAAAATTTCGGGTCTTGTTTCGAGTCGGGTAATATATAAAAAGCAGGGTACCTTGGTATTTCAGTGCGGATCGGATCGGGTATCGGAACCGGACCGGGACACATTTCGATTGATTTGCTTCCCAGAATTGATTACCCAAAACCCGAAAGGCTTTCTCACTTTCCCAGAGTTCATCACTAGTAAGAGAGAGAGTGACCCGCAACAATTAACACAGCAACAAACTCTTGCTTCACGATTCTCTTTTTCATTTCTTCACCGGTTTCGCCTCCTTCTTGGGGAATCGAAACGGGGATTTGGAACCAAAGTTAGGGAAGACAGGGAAGGCATTCTTCTGGTCTTTGGGAGTTTCACTAAATCAATCGAAGATTTGCATGCCCTCTGACCCAACGCAGCAGGCACGGATCTTGAAAATTCTGTCGGGCCCCCTTCATTATTTTACGCCGAAAACGTTGCATCAGTACGCAAAAGCGGTGCTTTCGCTACGAATAATGTTGGCTGGATACAAGCGACCAAAGCAAAAGAGATGAAAAGGAGAGGGGAAAGCGAGTGCAATCGTGATGCAGGGGAGCAAATTACGAAGAAGCAAGGGACCCAGCCGGACCTCCATAATACACCTGGACGCGTCACCCTGCAGGAGAATTCCCAAAAAAAAGAAGAAGTGGAAAACCTGAAACTCGACCGGAACCGATTTTCGCGTCGGTTCATATGCAATTCGGGCAATTCGGGCAATTCGGGTCAAAGAGCACACACATCTCAATGGATTCCGGTCGGGTCGGGTAGCATGAGAACCCGACCCGACCAACCCATTGACACCCCTAAATAGAGTACAGCAGAAAAGCTCCTACTGCCTCCTCTTCATTCTCGGCTCCGCGGGTATTACGGAACAAGGTCTGAAAAATGGAAACGATCCCGAAGACTAAGTTCTTTCCACAGAATGCTTTGTCAGAATGGTATACCCACTATGGAAAATTTACATAAGCGAAAAATAGTCCCAGATCCTAATTGTTCGCCGTGTAAAAACCAGGTGAAATCTACATAGCACCTCCTTCTTCTTTGCCCTTGGATGCGAGAAATCTCGGCTCACTCATCCCTAGACATTCAATTATCTTCTCAAGGGTTAAGTAGAATAGAGATATGGCTCCTTCAGTTGCTTAAAACCTTAGGAAGCCCACCTTCTCTGGAACAAGTGGCCTCCAACGTCTGATTTATTTGGACGTCTCGCAACAACCTCATCTTTAGACAGAAACCCCAGATCCAGCACAAGCATCGCAAGGAGCTCTAACATCCCTGAGTAACTACGGGAGGTGGAATTCAGATAAAAAAATCAAACCTTTATTCCAACTTTAAGAAATACTAGCTATTCCTTTAAGGGAGACAAATTAAGGAAATTTGCACTGCATAAGCTACTTCGTCTTGGTAAGCTTCCACCTTTCGAATCATCCTCTGTTCAAGTTTTATTTGGACGTCTCGCAACAACCTCATCTTTAGATAGAAACCCCCAGACCCAGCGCAAGCATTGTAGGGAGCTCTAACATCCCTAAGTAACTATAGGAGGTGGAAATCATATAAAAAGTTGCATCTTTATTCCAACTTTTAGAAATACTAACTATTCCTTTAAGGGAGACAAACCGAGGAAATCTGCACTGCATAGGAAGCTACTTGGTCTTGGTAAGCTTCCACCTTTCGAATCATCCTCTGTTCAAACTTTATGGACGTGAGAAAATCTAGGACAGGTGAGCCCATATCTCTATTCTACTTAACCCTCGAGAAGATGCTCAATGTTTAGGGAAAGGTTAGCCCAAATTTCTTGCATCCAAGGTCAAGAAAGAAGGAGGTGCATACCAAGGCGAAAGATGGAAGCTTACCAAGCCGAATTTGCTTCCTATGCAATGCATATTTCCTCAGTTCGTCTCCCTTAAAGGAATAGCTAGTATTACTAAAAGTTGGAATAAAGATTCGATTTTTTATTTGAATTCCACCTCCTACAGTTATTGAAGGATGTTAGAGCTCCCTGAAATGCTTGTGCTGGGTCTGCGGGTTTCTGTCTAAATACGTCCAAATAAATCAGAAGATGGAGGCCACCAATTCTATAGAAGATGGGTTTCCTGAGATTTTAAGGAACTGCAGAAGCCATATCTCTATTCTACGTAACCCTTGAGAAGATGGTTGAATGTTTAGGGATGGTTGAGCCTAGATTTCTCGCATCCATGGGCAAAGAAGAAGGAGGTGCTCTGTTCCACCTGGTTTTTAGACAGCGAAAAATAAGGATCTTGAACTATTTTTCGCTTATGTAAATTTTCCATAATGGGTATACTATTCTAACAAGCATTCCATGGAAAGAACTTAATCTTTGGGATTGCTTGCATTTTCCAGATCTTGTTCCGTAATACCCATGAAGCCGAGAATGAAGAGGAGGCCATAGGAGCTTTTCTGCTGTACTCTATAAGTCTGATGTTGTAACCACTCTTTACTGAGTAATTTCCTGCTAATGAATTTGTCCACACCAATTTGTCTCGAATTCAGTGAGTTCTTAGAGGAATAGCTAGTATTTCCTTCACCTTTCTATCGAGTCTAATGGCTTCTTGAAGTTGGAGTAAAGGTACTAATTTAAACGTTGAATCGTACTCAACACCTCTTCATTTTGATATTCATGGTGTTCACTCGGTGGTGATTTTGGAAAAGCCAAGTCATTGTGCTCTTTGAAGCAGTTGTTTTTCTCCTCGAAGGATCGTCATCTTTCCTCCAACATCTTGATGAGTATCATCCTTCTTTTCGCCTACGAGACTATGGAACAGTCTTAACCGTCCGAAACCACCGAGCTTATCGACCGTCATTTGTTGATTCATCAACTTTATAGACTTCGGGGATAGTTACTTCTTCCAGATGTACGAATATCGTAGAGATCGATTCCACTAGGGTTTCTCATTAGTATTTGCTTCTTTTACGTCAGTGCTCGTGAAGTCGAGCTCAGGTTTCTCTTTTCCAATGTGATGAAGATTTCCTCCTCAATCGCAATGTTCACGAACCTGTTCAAACTCCATCCTTCTTCTCCGAGCTAAGGAAGGACTCGTGGGTTTCATACCCCTAGGGAAAGAGTCTAAGGCTGCGTTTGGGATTTGCTTTAGGAAGTCACTTTGGACACCTAAAGCCCTTTAGGCTAAAATTTGGTGTTTGGCAAATTTTTTTTGAAACCCCATTGAGCCAAAGTTGGCCTTGTGAAGGCTGAAAGCCCAAGGCAGGTCCTAGGCTGCCTTGGTCTTTCAGCTTTCTCGGTAAGCAACAGTACCCGGGTAAGTAAAAAAAATTTCTTCCGAAACTACCCTCATCTATTTTTTGATTTTCCGATTTTGCCCTCGTCTGGCACTGTTCATCTTCCCGAGGAACCAAACCGGAGGCCGGCGACCGCCGCTTGAGGGGTCTGGCCACTACCGCCTGGGGGTCGGCCGACCTCCGCGACCGCCGCCCGGTGGTTGCCCAACCCGGCGACCGCCGCCTGGGGGTCGCCGACCTCAGCAAGACCCTAGGTCGTGTGACCGAGCTGGGTCGTCGACTGACCGAGCTGGGTCGTGCGACCTAGGCGCCGCTTGAGGTCAGGCGACCCCAGGCGGCGGTCGCCGGAGGTCGGTCGACCCCTAGGCGGCATTGGCAGGACCCACGCAACCCAAGCGACGCCTAGGTCACGCGACCTTAGGCTGCCTCGCCTGAGGTCGCGCGACCCAGGCAAGCGTCGGCCTGGGTCGCGCGACCCAGGCGAGGCGGCGTGAGGGTCGCGCGACCCTTAGGCGACGGTGCAGCCTCGCCTGAGGTCGCCCTGGCGGTGCCGCCTCGCCTGAGGTCGGGCGACCTCAGGCGAGGCTGGCCGGCGGCCGTTTTGGCCCGCCGGCAGTGGCTGTGCTTTTTGCTGAATTTTTTTTTATAAATAATTAGCAAAAGTCCTTTACAAAATTAATTTTTACCAAATGGTATTTAGACCAAAGTTGCTTTTAAATGTGATTTTAAAATACACATTACCAAACACTACTTACATTTCGAAAAACCATTTTAGCTCAAAGTCCTTTGTATTTTCCCAAAAACTTTCCTCCAAAGTGTTCCCAAACGCAGCCTAACAAGGTCCAGAGGAATTTCTTGAAAACTCCTAGCTTAATTTTATGACTACGATCTATATATATATCCACCAAAAACCCACATGTAACAAATTTAATCAAAATTAATTTTTTGACTACCAAAATTTCCAAATTTGTACACTTGTGACAAATTTATCAAAAACTAATTTTTTAACCACCAAAAATCCCAAACTAATATATTTGTGACAAATTTACTCTACGTTAGTTTTCGTTAAATTGGATTAATACTACAAAAAATCACAAATCGGTATACTTGTGACAAATGGAAGGTAAAATCCTAAACTGGTCATTCGTCAACTGCCACGTGTTATTCAATTCAGCAATTTGACGGTAAAATTTAACAAAAACATATGGAGGGTAAATCTGTCACAGGTGTACCAGTTTAGGGTTTTTAGTGATAAAAAAATTATTTTTAAATAAATTTATCACAGGTGTACTATTTTTGGATTTTTCGTGATATTAACCCTTTTTTTATTTGATAATTTTCATAAACAATAAATTCCAACTATTAATTAAAAACATTTTGAGTATTTTCATTACGCGATTTCGACGAGAGCTCAGACAAGCTCCCGCCTAGCAGCAGCCCCCTACGTTCTTCTGCTTCGTTACCTCTCCGCTTCTGCCCCGTGCATCTTCTCCTCCCTCATCATCCTCTCTCCAAGCGTTTCTTCGCAGTCGCGTCCACCACATTCCCTCCGCCGTGCTTCGGACTCGAAGGTCCTGTGCAGAAGCATCTCCGCCGTCGTCGCGCTCTGCGGCGGCGCGAAGTTCTTCCCCCGTCGAGCCTTTCGGTTTCTGCGACCAAGAGGTATCACGAGGCCCTTTGCGTATTCCTGGGTTGTAGAGAATCCCTTATGGGTCACTCGTCGTCAGCTTTTGGTTTATGATATTTTCTTCCCGGTTGTATCCTTGTTACCCAGCAAAGCGGGGTACTTTGGCGGAACTTTTATCTCTAATTCGTTACCCAATCCAACGAAGGTGGTGGTGGGTGTGGAATAGGAACCGGTGTCGTAAGTGGGCATGCTGTGGAAGACGAGATAATTATGGTTTTCGCTCTCAGACGAGACGAACCTCCGTGTTGAAAGCGTGGCCACAGTATTGCATGTCCCCATTGCTAAAGCAAGTGGATAGGCTGCAAAGATCCTCGCTGTTGTCCTGCTCTGACCTCATAACTCAATGTCTCTCATTAAAATCTCTTCATTATACCAAAGCCATCCATGCGCAGTTGATAAAAGTGGGACTTGCTCGCCACACGTTTCTGGGTAATCGATGTCTGGATTTGTACGCGTGTTTTGGCACGACGAAGGATGTCTTGAACCTGTTTGATGATATCCCTCGCAAGAATGTGATATCTTGGAATATTTGCTTGAAAGGGTTGCTGAAACACAGCGACAATAGAAGGGCACGCGTAATGTTCGATGGAATGCCGCAAAGGGATGTTGTAAGTTGGAATTCCATGCTCGCGGGGTATGCATTTAATGGGTTTGTTTATTATGCATTGGAGCTGTTTTGGGAAATGCAAACTGCTGGAGTTGAACCGAGCGAGTACACATACTCCATGGTGGCATCGTTTGTGCAATGTGCTAATCATGGCAGGCAAATCCATGCTAGAGTGATCAGGAGTGGCATGAATGCACACAATGTGGTGCTCGGAAATTCTTTGATTGGCATGTATGGGAAGCTTGGCCTTGTTGACTATGCTCATGCAGTATTTATGACGATGGAAAACATTAACATCATTTCTTGGAACTCGCTGATTTCAGGGTTATACAACTCATGGCGAAGTCAATGTGCACTGGAGCAGTTCACCACAATGCGTCATGTAGGACAATCTCCAGATGAGTTTACGGTTTCATTGATGCTCACAATCTGTTGCAACTTGCAACAACTAGAGAAGGGTGAACAACTTTTCTGTTTGTCTACAAAGATGGGCTTTCTTTCTAATGCAATAGTTGCAAGTGCCATCATTGATCTATTCTCCCAGTGCAACAGATTGGAGGATTCGGTTCAGTTCTTTGACAAAGTAGATGAGTGGGATATAGCTTTGTGTAATTCCATGATTTCGAGCTACATTTGCCATGACCAATGGGAAGTTGCTCTAAATCTTTTTCTTCTGGTCCTGAGGGAAGGCCTCAAGCCGACTGAGTTTACTTTGAGCAGTGTTCTGGGTGCTGTTTCTTTTCATCTGGCAGAGCAGGGAAATCAATTGCATTCCCTGGTTATTAAGACAGGTTTGGAATCAGATGTTGTTCTTGCTAGTTCTCTTCTGGATATGTACAACAGAGTTGGCTTAGTAAACTCTTCCATGAACGTCTTTCTTCACATGGTTGCAAGGGATTTGATCTCTTGGAATAGCATGATTGTGGGTTTGACTCGCAATGGAAAGGTAATTGAGGCACTAGGCTTATTCGCGAAATTGCTTCAAGTGGGTCTGCCACCAGATAGAATAACATTATATGCAGTGTTGCAAGCCTGTAACTATGGAGGATTTTTCACTGAAGGATTGGCAACATTTTCATGCATGGAGGAAGCGTATGCAATAATTCCTGGGGAAGAACATTATACCTGTGTCTTGAACTTGTTGACCCAATATGGAAAACTCCAGGAAATTGTAGATGTTGTAGAAACTATGCCTTATGAGCCCAATTATGGGATGTGGGAATTGATGCTTCGGCTTTGTAGTTTGCATGTGGACTTGGAACTCATGGAAGAAGTTGTAGGAAAAATGATAGAAGTGGAGCCTCAGTCATCAGCACCTTATTTGGTCCTAGCTAGGGAATATGAAATGAGGGGCAGATGGGAGGGCATAGTTCGAGTTAGGATGGCAATGAAAGAGGGGGGCGTCAGAAAGAAAGTAGGATGTAGTTGGATCGGCATAAATAATCATGTATTCGCTTTCAGGGAAGACCAGTTACAATATCATGGAGGTGAAGATGTCTATGTTGTTCTAAGTTTACTCGCGTGGGTGATGGAAAGACAAGATCCATGGCAGGATGGTTATCTAGGTAATGAAGATTATATTGGTGCTTAACATCTTTCACATGGTCAATTGTTTCAATTTCAACCCAACGTGGCCATGAATGATGCCTGCTTATGTCTAGAGTGCCCTTTGGTATTGTATGCTGCATTAAGCTCCAGGTTCATCCTTGATGTGGTAATGCTTCTTAACGATCATTATCTATCATTAGCTATTAACTTTGTTGTTAATGGTTGAATGTTGCAGGTTGAAAAGCTACATCAATAACTAGCTCCCTGGGAATGGAAGTTCCATTTGTTTTTGCCATGACAGGTTGTGCTTTTGGTTTCCTGTTAGATATCAGTTTGAGGGTGTTTTTAGAATTGCCATGGAATAGAAAGCTCTAGCTTGTTCTAGTAAGATAGCAAGAAAGGTATAGAAAGACAGGATAATTAATTAACAATATTCTTTCTGTCAAGATTTTAGTGTGGACACTGCATTGTTCTTTTATAGATTTCATGTTATTTGTGTGATTCCCAAATCTTTTCTGTTAATTCAAGCTTTCATTAGAAAGTTAGGAAGTCAGATTTTGGTTACTGTTGTTGCTGTCGTTGTGGTTGTTGTTGTTATTTGTATGTGGGATAACTGTTATGTTGATATCTCTCAGACCTTCAAAGGAATAAAGGTATATAACTTAAACGAAAAATAGCTTTTTCGACTGCATTAGTACATGAAAGATGTCAAAGATGGCAAGTTTACAATCTGTACTTTTTTCCATTTCCAATTTAATTTCTCTTTCATCTTTTAATGAGACATTTCTCAAAGTCACAATAAGGTATAAAACCTATTTGTGCATTATTTGAATCATTTGTCTGGGTCTTTTGTTGACTGAGTCTTTTTCTCTTTAAATCGTTTCCTAATCCAGTTAAAGGACATGGGAGATCTTACCTGTCCTGCTTGTTTAAATGATATTCATATTCTCCTTTCATCATCTTTGAAATTTAAAATACTTAATACCTGCGGATTATATACCACTTCTTATATCCATAGGGATGCAGTAATAGAGCTGCTGTTGCACCTTATGCTCTAATTTCCAATCTTATTGCTAAATCATGAAACATTTCAGAAATACTCGAAGGTTTTTTTACTTTTCTGTCCACTAAAAGTACCATTACATTGAAATTTATTCATATAATCAGACAACCCAAACAACTTATTCTGAACTTACATGGATGGCATGCGTGGGAGCACTAACTTTAAGGAAATCCTTGATTTGGACCGATTAGTTTCCTTCCTCTCAATGGACATAATATGCATAACGCATCTCCAATAAAGAGAGGAAAAGCTGTGAGCACCCATACCTTGCATTTTCCTAGGGAATACACTCGAATTCCTATACAAGTGATGATTTTTCATGTCCTAGACAAATATCAGTTTAGGAACCATGGTATCCAGATCTGGGGTTGTTTTATTTTGGAAGGTTGATTTTTGTATGTCTGTTGCAGGTATGTTTGAGCTTATTCAAGCAGATGATCTGTTGTGACACTATTCTTTCACAACTTGACTTGCAGTTGCTAGTGATACAGAGGGAATTAGAAAACTCCCTTGGTCAAAATTGATCTATGGGGGAAGAAAAGTGTATGATGCACTTCAATTCACCTATCTGGCTTACTCATGTCAAATAATCCGCAGCTGCGGGTGAATATTTGGAAAAGGAATATTTAACTAAAGAAAGTGTTGGAACTTTGAGAAAGGAATAAAGCAACCGAAGATCCCTGAACAATTGCAAAACGTTCAATCAGGTCCCTCAATTGTTGTCCTTGTGCAATTGCGTTATATACTTTTTTTTTGTTCAAGCTGGTCCTTCTGTTAAAAGTATAAATGGAGATGCTGATGTGGCTGTTAAACGTTGACATGTCACGTTATATGGCATCTTATGTGGTAATTGAAACCTAAAATATTGATTTCAAGATTTTAGAAATACAGAAATCTGGAAAAAAAGGAAAATTCAAACAGAGGAGAAGCTGAGGACAGCGGTAGCTACAGTCGAGGCGGAAGCGGCACCGATGCCACCCATGCATCGTTGGGGGCTGGCATTCCTCACTGGGCTCAGGTGAAGTCGGTACAGTCCTCACCACTACGTTTGTGTGCTCAAAAAAAAAAAAAAAAAAAAAGAGCCAGGCAAGGTTGTGGTCCTCACCAGCTTCTCTAGTTGCAGGCCAGAGTTGCTGCGACCTTGCCACTAGCGGCCCTTGTCACTCCGGCAGTGATGGCTGCGGCCTTCGCTGAGATCTGCAGCGAGGGGACAAACCTCACCCAGATTTAGGGTGAGGGGCATAGACCATGTTGTCAAAGAATATTGAAGTGGCAGCAGTGCTCGACCTCAAGGTTGTGAATGTTGCGAAGGTCAGGGACTTGGAGAGGCGCAATTCTGTGGTAACCTGTGAAGAAGATCAAAGAATACAATCTGGGGATTCTATGGAAGCTCGGTGAATGAGTGTAGAGGTTAGCAAAGAAATTGCAGGCAAAAGTAAAAGATCTCCAAAAAAAATTTCAAGAATTAATTTTTTAGGGCAGAACCAATCCGTGCAAAAACGAATGCAAACTCTCCAGGATGCTGTTCAAAGCTACTTGATGAAGACAGATGCATTTCGCCAGAATGTTTTTTGTTTTTTTGATTTTTTTTGTTATAACAATTTTGTATGTTTTAATTGCTATTTAAGATGCCACGTAATGTCACATCTGCATTTGACAGCCATGTCAGCATCTCTGCCTATATTTTTTTGAAAGGACCAATTTGAGCAGAAAATATAGTTTAAGGACCCAATTGCAACAAAAAAGTTGAGAGACTTGATTGAACATTTTACAATAGTTCATGGACCTCCAGTGCCTCTATCCCTTTGAGAATTCGATGATTCCAGACCAAACCATTGTTGCTGCTAATTAAAGTTATGTTTGAGAACTTCATAGTGGATGATTGAGCTGGTAGATGTAAGCTATTGATTCCAATTATAGAAATTTCAATTAGAGAAATGTATTAGTGTATTCAAAACCTGTTTTGATGAATTATTAAAAAAGAATGAAGGCCTCTATTTTTGTTTAAAAAATGTCTCTTGAGGAGAACCTTTGTCAAACAAAGAAGCTTTAGAGCAAGTTACGTGTTTTAGTTTTCTTGGTTTCCCTTTTGAGTGTAACTATATTGGCTTTTGATTTGACACATTCTAACCATCCTTCTCGTTTTGCAGCCATTCGATCTCCTCGTTTGATTAGGAACCTGCAAACACGTTGGATGAAGATCTGCAAAAGCTGGGATCTGGGGTTAACAACTATGCTTTGACTTTGCTAAGCCAATGCTTTTGTTCTGTGAAAACATTGATTAAGATCTTGAAGTTCAAAAGCAGTCAATTTACTGGCACGCGCTTAAGGTAAGATTTCTTCAACCATATTCATTTTAAACTTAGTCATCATTATCAGCTAGATAGTCTGATCGTCCTATATCACATTGCTCATGCTCACGCTATCTAATTTTGCTACTTGCTGAAATTTTCAGTTGCTAAGACAGAAAAAGCTGGCTTTTCGTCCTCTTGCTCTTAAAAGTTTACAATGTTATACAAAGCCTAGGGTTGAGATTAGAGTGCATAACAGGATCTATGTCTCGATTGGACCATCATATGACATAGCAATTATCTGTTTCTGTGAAATATTCAGAAATTTCAACTCTACCATATTTATCACACTGGGTGCGGAGTTCCTTTTTCAAAAAAGTAATTCTGCATTTGTATTGTAGTAATGTATTCTGCAATGGAGAAGAGACCAAACTTTAAACCTTTTCTATGTACTTTTCATTTCAGATCATCTATTCATCAATGATCTGTTGCTGTTGGTTGCAACTTAATGTGTGGGTGAACACGATCATCTCGATGGAAGGCTTTGCTTAATAAATGCATATAAACATTTAGGAGATTAATGTAATTGGTATTGGTGAAGTTATAAAAGTTTATCTAGGGTAGTTCTTTTTCTTCTGTTTAGTGAATGGGTGGGGGAGGGGCGACCAACACCCTCCGGGTGTTACCATAAAGGTCTCATACCCATTACAAAATGTTCAGTTTGAGCTATAGCAACTCAGTCCACTCCTAAGCATATGAGCTCGTCACCGCAGCCATACCGGCTTGGCAGAAGTTGTGAAGTCTCTTCACATGAGGTAGTACGTGCCTGTGGCACAAGTTGACCAAAGAGTCGCTCTCGGCATGACTCCAATTTGTGGCCTCTTGGAAGACAATAATTATTCTTTATGACTGAGCCAATCACTATATACCTACATCTAAAAGCTGACAATCATGTCCTTTAATGTGTGACTGTAGTTTTCGTAGAAAGCTCTTCCCAATTCGTATTGTCATTGCATACTTGAAGATGGTTGCTTTTTGTCGTAGTAAATTACTCTAGCTGATCTGTGCAATTCTCCCAAGTCTCATTTGTTAACATGTCTTGAGCACAGTGCAGGTGTTTGGTTAAAAATTGAGTTACGAAGGTTCCCGGGATCTATCAGGCTCAGGTTTGTTGAATGAAGATCTCTCGAATGGTATCTCCGTTAAATCTCTGCTCCAATTCCTGATAATGTTCTTTTGTTTGTTTGGAAGGTATAGACTTTAGTGTGATTAAATAGTTTTTATGTTGCTTTACTCTAGATATGATATTCTCGGAGATGGTTGTCAAATGGAAGGTAATGCCAATGAAGCTTGTCGCTTGCTGAGCAGTGGGGACTTTGGACAGTGATCGTTTCTATGATGATGACCACATCTCTATTGATGATGACAAGCAGATTGCATTCACCGAGTGTTGACGAATGGTTCGAGGTTCTACGTTGGCATGTTATATGGGCGAAAAATGGTAACACTTGTTATGATATTAGTGCTGTCATCAAGGAAGCAACGACTTTCAGAGACGAGCCTACTTTGATTAACGTTATCCCCTGCAATGAGGGGTTTTGGTTTTTTTTTTTTTGGTAAGGTATACAATGAGGGGTTTTGTTGCACATCCTTTACTCAAAGAATTCCAATTGTAAATCATTTGTTGTCCACTTAGAGACAATAATCTATCTTTTAATAGATCATGATTCCAACTCTATACTGAGAATTTCGACGATTGTTAGTGGAGTCAGAAGCCGCACACAATTTTGTTAAGCGAAGATTGCTATGATAAAGCATCATTGGATGATTATCGTCGCGTGCCTCTCGTGTGCTAGTATTTCAAAGTCCAGTGCCCTTCCCCAAGAAGGTTGTTTCCGTGCCTTCCATTATTTTTTGTTTACATATATAGTTAAGAGTAAATGTGAACAAAGTTTTAGTTACTAGTAAATTTATTGCCATTATCTTTAAAGATTAAAATGAGAATAATTAGATAGTTCGTAATTCAGGCCACACCAGTGTAAGTTTTGAAGTTGCAACAAAATATATAACTGAAATAATCGTATAGCTATATATTCTATCAGGATTTTCATCACAAGCAAGATGATCCTTTTCCCAGTGAGAGATTGCAATTTAATGTCGACGATTACATATAATAAACTCCATTTATACGACAATTTTAGATGTGAAGTAAAATTTTCAGCACTTGGGAAGATACTATTTTTATGTGGATGAGGCATACATTTTTTTTAGAGAAAAACGTACATTGATTGACCGAGTTTGTTAGAAGTTATTGATAAAAGATGATTCATAAGGTTTTAAAGATGTAATGATCATCAAGAAAAAAAGCTATTTATCTTGCTGAATTAATTGATAAGGTTGATATTGGAACTTGAAAGCAAAAGAAACAAAATTTACAATAATTTCATTTTAGAGGTGGTAATTTTTTAATAACTTAACAGTACATATGTACATTTTTTTTTACCCTACATGAGAAAATACTTATGTTCCCACCCAACAAAATGTTCTTTCATGTATATGACATTAGAGGTATATTTTGATTATGGCTTTTACTCCTCTCTGTCTCAGTTCTGGTTCTGTACTACGCCAATAATCAAAGCAAACTCTATTTACCAGCCTCAAAGGCTTAATCAGCTATAAAGAAATTCCAGATCAGAACCACCAAAGCTCTCCTTGCTTATTTTGTTGAGACTCTCCGCCATTGTAGGTGTGAGATGATTCCTCCAATCTCCAATCTGCCCTTTCCTAAAGAAATTGCTGTTTGGCACCTTGAACTGAGCAGTGAATTGCTGTACCCCACTCTTGTTCACTTCCAAGCTGCTCAAATTCTCGAAGCTACATAAGCTCACCATCCTCTCCACCACTCCTCCACTCTCTTCCTCTGGGTCAAGAGGGTGGCCAATGAAGTCAGCCAATCTCTTGATATTGACTGTTGGATCCACCATCATGGCTTCATAAGTCAATACCAACACCTTCTTAGGTGACTCTTGACTAGCTCTATAATAGCCCAAGGAATGGTCCCAAAAGGGTCCGAAATGTGAGACCCCGTCACGGAACAATTCAAACGCTTCTTCAAGCAGCAAAGGTGGCATTTCTTTTGGCCTTAGCTTTTTCAGGTACTGCCATTGGGAAATGAGTGCGTCTTTCGGGTCACGGCACACGTACACTATTCGACAACCGGAGGTTTTGATGGAATTCGGTAGTAGGGAATACGGCATATGAGTAGAAAGCAACCTTGGAGATGAAATGTCGTCCTTAACGGGACTTGGAAAAGTCGTTTGATCGAACATGGCTTCTATGAAGAGTACTAAATCATGGGGATTGGTGGTAAGTAGAGGGTGTGATGAGAACTGGTAATTTCTTCTGTTCATGATTGTGAAGAGAATTGCCTTGAACCATGTGGTTCCGGCTTTCGGGGAAGTGGATAAGAAAATGTCTGTGGGTAGAGACTTGAAGTGGTCTCTTGCAAGCATGACTCCTTTTAGACCAGAAAGGCTTAACCAAACTCCTTGGTATTGCACAAGATGATTGCCCATCCACCCTTTTTGTTTCGGCAATGTTGGCAGTATGGCCTCCCATTCCATGCATGTGTTCTTGTGATCAAAATCTCGATCAATTTCTTCTTGATCTTTCCTTTCCTCGTTCATTATCACCTCTCTGTTTGGTTTTGAACCAAGTAGTTGATGACAATCGCACGTTGTAGAGTCCATTGAGCGAAAACACTATGACAAGGACAGGCAAAGCAGCAATGAGAAGGAGTGACGAGATTCGAACACCTCACTTTTACATGATACTGTGCTGCAATGTTTGGACAGGATGTGTTCTTGTCTTAATTAGAATACCAAGGGAGTTTATATAGAGTACACAGGCTAAAATAAAGAGGTAAATGAGTGATAGAACCAGTCTTGCCAAATCTTATTAGGCTAAGTATGAATCAAAAAATCTTAACGAAGGTCTCAATCCCATCCAAACCCTTGTTTTTAGCAAACAAAAATCACCACCAACCTATGAACGGGTGCTGATTAATTCTAAAACTGTCACAAAACCACTAATTCGGATGCAGTCGGATCAGATGAATCAAATCACCAGTAACTTGATGCGAGAAAGTACATTCTGGACCATAGCAGTCAATTATAGCTGACTTTGATAAAATTGAAAAAAGTACACCAGTTTTTCTACATGCATTCATCCACTTTGTCAAATAAACATAGAAATCATCAATACAAAATCCCTGAAGAAAGTATACCGGTTGACTTAATTTCAGTTAACATCACTTACAAGCTGCTCGAAGTCAAGATAGGCAAATCGAGATTACCTTTAGAGTTCAGACCTGTATCAAATGAATCGCCATCAGATGAAATCCATGGCTGACTTTCCCCAATTGCAGGCGTCGCGAGGTTGAAGATGGTTGCGCAGTGTCAGCCTTTCAAGATGTTATCTTGAGGATATAATTTGATTATGTCAGCTAGTTGCGAGGTTGAGCCAAGGGCTAGATAACAAAAAATAAAAAATAAAATGCTTTGGCCAGATCGAGATTTTATATTATGTACAAAAAAATGAAAAATTAAAAGCTTTGGCCACATCTAGCTTTTATATTATGTACAAAAAATGAAATATAAAAAGCTTCGGCCACATTGAGTTTTTATATTCTGTGTTAGAGATAATTTTGATATTTCTGTTGATTCTCCGTATCTCTTAAAATTGCGTGTATATTACCTTTTAATTGTGCTTATCTTGATCTATATGTTTGCTCAGATAGTTATTTAATAAACCCTATAAATAGACTCATGTATTCTTCTTCAAGATATATCGAATTTATAGAAATTTCATATTTTTAATTTCTGCATATATTTTCTTATAGGAATAAGTGTACTAGAAGTCCTAAAACTTGTCACGAAAGTACAATTGAGTCATAAAAATTTCAAAAAGTGCAATCAAGTCCTAAAAATTATTTCGAAAATGTAATCGAATTCTAAAACTTTCAAAAAGTGCAATTAAGTCATAAAACTAGTTAAATTGGTGCAATTAAGTCCTTCCATTAATATTGTTAATTTATTTAACGAAAAATGCTAACGTGGCATTTTTAAATTACTTTCTCTCTCCTACCTAGCATTTTTTAATTATTATTTTATTTTAATATTGATTTAATTATATTTAAAAAATTTAAAAAGCTAAAATTTTACATAAAAAACAAAACTGAACAAAAGAAAAAGAAAATGGCAAGGCAGGGCCTCGCCAGTGGGTGTTGCTGCCGCCGCCGCCCATCGTCGAAAGGGCCGGTGACCTTCACTAGGCCTGGGCGAGAGGGCCCAGATCTGCTCGACGCTGGATCTCCCCCGGGACCGGCGACCATCGCCTGTCCTAGGCGAGGCATCGCCCAGGGCGGGCGATGGTCGCCAACCCCATGCAAGGGCCAGCGACCCTTGCTAGGCCCGGGTGAGGCTTCACCGGCCCTCGCTTGAGCCCGGTGAGGCTCTCCCAAAACTGGGTTGAGGGCGCCCAAATCTGGGTGACGACGGCCTTTGTCTGGGGCCGGCGAGCCTCGCTTGCCCCGTGTGAGGCCTCGCCAGCCCAGGCTAGGGCGACCGATGGTCGCTAGACCTAGGGGAGAGCTGGCGTTGCCCATATTTGGGCACCCTCGCCTGGGCCTAGTGAGGGTCGACGACCCTTGTCTACAACCGGCGAGGCCTTGCTCGGGGCCGGCTAGCCTTGCCCAGGGCCGGTGACCTCTCGGCTCCTCCGGCAATAGGCAGCAACGGCAACAGCAGCGCCTACCGGCGAGGCCCTGCCCTGCCCTGCCCTGCCATTTTTTTTTTCAGTTTTGTTTTTTAAATAAGATTTTAACTTTTTTATTAAATTTTTTAAATCTAATTCAAATCAGATTTGAAGAAAAAATAATAAAAAATGCCACATAGGAAAGAGAAAGTAGTTTAAAAATTCCACATTAGCATTTTCCATTTAATAACTTGATGGAGTTAACTAAAGGACTTAATTGCATCAATTTGATAAGTTTTAGAACTTGATTGTACTTTTTAAAAGTTTTAGGACTCGATTACACTTTCGCGATAAGTTTTAGGACTCGATTGCACTTTTGCGACAAGTTTTAGAACTTCTAATGCACTTATCCCTTTCTTATACTGATGCACTAATAGGCAATAAATGGTCAATCGTCACAACTGGAGTTCATGAATAATATGTCAGAACTAGACTCGATTGACAGGGGCACGGGCGCTCGTCAATTGAGATGAGCTATGGTCATTGAGGTTCATTGCTTGTGGGTGCATCAGTTGGAGCGTGTATTGCATATCAGAATGCTCGTTGCGAGAGCTTCCCAATGAGCCTAATATTTCTAGGAAAAATCAAGAAATCACAAGTTCGAGGTTTTGAACATAAATCCTTCTTTAGCATAAATTGGAGGTCCAGACACTTTGGTCGAATTTGAAATCTCTGCAGGTTTTGAGCTCTGGCACCTTTTTCGACCATTGGAAGATTGGACGGAAATTTGACCGGTGATTATTTCCTCATCTTACAACCTATCGACCCAATTTTTAGTGCATTGGAATGATTGTGATCCCTAATTTCAGGGCGTGCAATTGAAAGCAGGAGATTGCAAACTTCATGACACTACGAAAAAGGATAAAAAAAATTGACTGTCGAATTCGAGTGGTACTATGGGTATCAAAACAGTCATTTTTACGAGCATTACCCATTTTTGATCTTTTAAATGTGTTTTATGCCTTGTATATTATCGGTCAAACCTTGGCCATGTGTTCAATATATTCTTTCAATTAATTCAAGATCAGGGACTACATTTAACATTTTCATATAATTCGGGATTTATATACTAAAAGTCGAGAGACCACATTGAACAAATTAAAAGTTCAGGGACCATACTAAGCATTAGGCTAAAGTTTAAGTACCACATTGAACAAATTAAAAGTTCAGGGACCGCATTGCATATTGAACAAAAGTTCATAGATCATTTGTATCGTTATCCCCAAAAATAATAATAAAAGGGGAAGGAGAATAGGCTTAATAGGGGGATTAACATGAGCTGGACGGAGTTATGAGAGAAACAGGGCTTAGACTGAATTTGGGTACACCCAAAATAAGATTTGGGCTTAATGTTGGCCTTGCAGTTGAATGGGCTAGAATAGCCACCGTGGACCGTGGGCTTCGTTTGTTAAATTCGGATTTGGGCTTGAGAGAATTTAATTTGAAAGAGTTTTTAGTAAGCCCGAATTGCCTCTTTATCTCAGACGGCCCAGTCTGAGTCCTCATTTTCGGATTAAAAAAGAAGATATTAAAAAAATTAAATATATATAAATATAAAAAATTTCTAAAATGCTAAAAAAATTAGAAAATACTTGGTAACCATTCTGCTCCAGAAATCAAATTCTTGCCAGAAATTGATTTCTGGAATTCTTGCCAGAAATTGATTTCTGGAGGAGAAATCTGTTTGGTAAAACATGACTAATTCTGCTCCAGAAATTGATTTCTGGAACAGAAATCTGTTTTGATTTGTTGATTTTTTTTGCACCTAAAAATATTTAAATTTTACTCAAAGTGGGCGGCCACATGTATTATAAGCCATTCTGTAAAGTTTTGAAATTTTTGATTTTTTTAAATTTTTTTTAGGCACCTAAAAAATTTTAAATTTCACTCAAAGTGGGTGGCCATAGATATTCTAAGCCATTTTGTGAAGTTTTGATTTTTTTTATTTTTTAGGGCACCTCGAAAAATTTAAATTTTACTAAAAGTGGGTGGCTACAGATATTCTAAGCCATTCTGTGAAGTTTTGAAATTTTTTTTATTTTTTTGGGCACCTCAAAAAATTTAAATTTCACTCAAAGTGGGTGGTCACGGGTATTTTAAGCCATTTTGTGAAGTTTTGAAAATTTTTATTTTTTTATTATTTTTATTTTTTTTGGGCATCTCAAAAAATTTAAATTTCACTCAAAGTAGGTGGCCACAGGTATTTTAAGCCATTTTGTGAAGTTTTGAAATTTTTGATTTTTTTTGGCACCTCAAAAAATTTAAATTTCACTCAAAGTAGGTGGACATGTGTTTTAAGCTATTCTGTGAAGTTTTGAAATTTTTAATTTTTTTTTATTTTTTTAAAAAAAATTCACCAAATTTCATTTTTTCCCGAAATCTGACTTTTTTTTTATTTTCTGGAAATTTTTATGAATTTTTCTAGAATTTTTCAATTTTTATGCATTTTCTGAAAAAAAAATTGTGAGAAAATAGGGAGAATGCATTTCGGAATCAAGAAGCTACAAAAAGTAGCTTCTCTTTTTCTTGCCAAAAACTCATTCCAGAATCAAAAATGCATTCTGGAATCAAGAATGCATTCTGGAATCAAGTATTTTTAACAAACGCATTTTTATTCAAGAATGCAAAAATCGCTCCGGAATGCATTCCGGAAATTTTTTAACAAACGTCATTTTGTTCCGGAATGCATTCCGGAACAGAATTTGTATTCCGGAATGCATTCCATGCGCACCCTTAAGTTCTGGCGTTAGATTTAGTTTAGTTTCTATTTTAGCATATGTACATGGTTTAGATGTTTTAGTGAGTGCCTTACGCTGCGCATGACAACTTGCCAAACATTGTTTGATTCTGTTCTTTTGTTCCCAGAATCAGTTTGGGAACAGAAATACGTTTGTTTAATTTTTTGATTCTGGGCACAATTTTGTCAAAAATTGTTCCGAGAATCAGTTTTCAAGAATAAAAAAAAAGTAGCTTTTTTATTCTGGGAACAATTTTGAGAATCAATTTTTTTTTCTTCTTCCTTTTCTTGGTTTTAATGTAGCTTCTAATGTCCGACCCGAGGACCGCCCTCGCCGGATCTGACGAGAATAAAATATTTTAATAAAAAATATTTTACCGGCCATGGCCGGCGACCAGGCCATGGTAAAAAAAAGAAAAAATATATTTTTAATAAAAAATATTATTAATAAAAAAATATTTTACCTGCCATGGCCGGTGACCAGGCCATGGCAAAAAAAGAAAAAATATATATTTTTAATAAAAATATTTTAATAAAAAATATTATTAATAAAAAAATATTTTACCGGCCATGGCCAGCGATCAAGCCATGGCAAAAAAAAATAAAAATGTATATTTTTAATAAAAATATTTTAATAAAAAATATTATTAATAAAAAAATATTTTACAGGCCATGACCGGCGATCAGGCCATGGCTAAAAAAAAGAAAAAAAATATATTTTTAATAAAAATATTTTAATAAAAAAAATATTTTACTAGCCATGGCTGGTGACCAGGCCATGGCCAAAAAAATAAAAATATATATTTTTAATAAAAATATTATTAATAAAAAATATTATTAATAAAAAAATATTTTACCGATCATGGCCAGCGACCAGGCTATGGCCAAAAAAAAGAAAAAATACTTTTAATAAAAATATTATTAATAAAAAAATATTTTACCAGTCATGGCCGGCA